TACTAATTACTACTAATTACTACTACTACTACTACTACTACTACGACGACAACGAGAACCCAAACCCTGATTGCCTAGCGGCCTGAACCTTGTGGCTGGAAGGCCGACCGCAGCCCCGGTGATGCCGCGACGAGCGCGCCAAAGAGGTTCTGAGGGAAGTTTTGGGGTGCAGGGGACCATCGTAACAGCGTCTAGCATTATGACGATTATAGTGAGGCTTGATAAACAGGTCTTGGCTGTAAACGGCTGATCAAGGCATAGTCGTGGTAAGTATAGAGGCTCCGGAATCGAGGTTCGTCAAGGTTGAGGAATGAAGCAGTGAGTTTGAAACGAATGAAGTGGGGCTATATGGTCGGACTCAGGAAACGACACAGTAGCGTTGGCTTTGTTGATTCACGGGCAGGTTAGCCACCGAGTTGAACACGTGACTTTGGATCGCTCCAGTAATTCCATTGCTCAGCATAGCTGATTTGGAGCCAGCTCTACTTTGCAAAAGCCCTTCAGATGAAGGTGACTGCAGCGCTCCCAGCAGCTGACACTGCACGTGGCTTCCACCCGCGTGAACGCCCAAAAAGCGCGGCAGGAACGATCTTCAGGGATTCCGCCGGGCCTCATAGAACTCGCAATACGCCTGATCTAAATTCGAAGTTTCGGGAAATTCCTGCATTGCACAGCTTCTCTTCCTTAAGCCCTGCTGAAGAAGAAGAGAGACGGAGTTCCAAGTCCTGCTGCTCCACGGAATATTGCAACATATTGCTGAGTGCCAGATGTATCTGTTGAAAAAAAGATAGAGGTGCCTGGCAAAATATTTGCTGCTGCAAGCGGCTCCGTATGGCATGTATGGAATGTCAAAAGAGGCCGGTAGGACAAGCTCCGCCCAGGCACAGTAACACAAGAGCAGCAACCTGCAATGTCACATTTCAGTCGCAAAGACACGCAGACACAAGATGATAGCAGACATTTCTAGTTGTTGTCTAGCATGGCGTCGTCTCAAGTTTCATGCCAGTCAGCCAGTCAGCAGCTCACGAACGATGTGCATGAGGCCTGATGCATCAAGTCCCTAACCTTTAAGGCCTTCTTGATCACCAAACGGCCGCTAAGTACTGCCAAGACGGGACAAGCCATGCGATCGTCTGAGACATGCTTTTGTAGGCAGCTCATGCAAGTCGGTTTGTTCTTGCTGAAGTAATTTCTCTCCAGGCCACTCTGGGTTGCCGCGCCACTGGTCGCCAGTCTGAGGCGCATGCACCTAGCCCTCATGCATTGCTATTTGCAGAAGGCAGACTCAAACGTGAATCACGGGTATATGTTGTCCGTATAGAAGTACTGCAACGAATGCTGGTGACAGTGATGACAGGATCATACACATTGTAGTGGCAGGGGGTTCGGTGGGCTGCATGCACAAGCTTAGAGATACAAGCCATAATGCGACACACCAATACCACGCTACCGAAAATCATGGCATCAGCAAGCTCAGAAACACGAACACCCGGCCGAGAGCCCGAGCAGGTTAGAAGTTATCGTGCCCAGCCTTTGGGCACACGCCGCCCAGCGAGTCAGCTTGCGCCGGACGCCCGGAAAAGCCATGACAGGTAATGGGTCAGAGTGTCTCCCATACTGGTGCAGGCAATTGCATGAGAAGTGTTAGCACTTGTCTGGTTGATCTTGTTGATTCTTGTTGTAGCAGGCGTACGGAGAGCTAGGCCCTTGCCGGGGCACCACATGGAACCGCGACAAGATCGGGTCGATGTGTTAAGTTGAGAACCATACGCCATGCACCGGTTTTGAGGGGAGAGGCGCCGCGTGTGTGAACCGGAGCCACTGACTACAGGCCAGCGTTTCCAAGAGTTGGGGCCCGAGCTCCGTGCCAAAGACTATCGCAAGATCCTCGGCTGCTCGCTTCGGACCCCAAACATATCCCCAGCAGTGCAGGCTGAGCTCCCGTGCTGCCCCCGAGGTGTGGAGCTGCATTTTATTCTGGGCAACCCAGTCGGAGCATCTGTGGATAAGGCGGCACCGTGCCTCATGCGGTCCGGGGTGTGCTGGGATTTTCTGCAGCCCTTTATGCAGGAATCGGTGCACGAGGAGCGTGCCCAGTTCGGCGATTTAGTCGTGCTGCGTTCTCAGATCTTTGTCTGCTTTTGCGAGCCAGAATGTAGCCTGCGAAAGGAAGGACGGAATGATCGTACTGTCAGGTTGCGGTCTTCTCGGCTTGAGAGCGCGGTCGTATACGGAAGTGGCATGAACTGCGTGGCATCTATAAGCAGCCGTAGGTTTGCACGGCTTTCCGGCACGGGTACCAAGGCAATACACATCCAGAGAGCCCACGCACGCGTTTCGTAGGCTTATCATCACGGTCATGTTCTGCAGCATACATGCCGGACTCTTGATTTACCAGTGTTTTTTTAGAAAGATCTGCAGCCACACACAAAAGGCTGGGAGCTCCAGAGAGCGAAGAGGAGATGCTACGGAAATGTCGGGAACGCCAGGCCGTTCTCGACTCGACGGTTCGGGTTTCAGAGAATGGCTGCTACTGTCAAGATGTAGACTCAGCACTGCAGCCCCATCTGCGCACCGCCCTGATCTTGCAATGCTGGCACCGCCGACGTTTGCAGAATAGCCAGGCGACATGAACTCCAGAAGCCGAGCTTCTGACCTCCATAAACCATCTAGTTAACTAGTTATGGGCAGTTTTTGGTGCAATCTGTGCACAGTACAACGCGACGGCAGAGCTCGTGCCAGCCGGAATTCCGCCAGCGTTCAGGCCTCCGGCAAAGGAAACAAGCGAACAGCCAGCATCCCAGCCTCACCTACTCGAAGAGCCAACAAAACCACGACAGTTCATGATGAGACTACAGTGCCCTTGATGCCATGGCAGCAGATGAATCTGCAGTCGATGCATGGCTGGCTTGTTTGTGTAAGGAATATTGGAACTTGCAGTTTCGAGCTGATCATTGGTAGTGACACCGAAATCGTCCGGCTTATCAAGGCCAGATTGCCAGAAGTTTTATTGGTTGCCAACGGACAGCTTTCGAAATAGCACCAGGAGCTGTGCGGAACTCACAGCCAAGCTCTTGAAAACCAAGATGTCCGAAATGCATCTACTACAGTAAGACCCTGAGTCTAAAGCAGTGCCGTCGAGACATCCCCGCAACCTGATTGAATCCAAGCATCTGCAGTAGAGCGTTTTGGCACTGATTTTTGTTAGCTAAACAGGATCAGGTAAGCCAGGCAAAGCTTCAGCTCCGAAATTGCAGATTTGCTCTCTGTAAGTCCGGTGCTTGCGATGTTTCGGGTCTCTTTCACATTTCTAGCATGACCGCAGATGTTGAAGGACTCGCAGGGCGATAACCGCAGCAAGGACTCATTGCCGAAGTTTCGCTTCGCTTGGGGAACTTCGTGCGTTTCGAGCTTCCAGCGCTTCCCAGCCTGCCGCAGGAAGAGTTTCTGAAAGACTTCTTTCGCACCTTCAAGGCGCCTCGCCTGCTTTCCAGGTTCCAAGCATTGAGCATTTCGTCTTTCAAGCTCTGAATGAAACCCAGAGGGCTGCAACTCTCGAGCCTCGGAGGTGCTCTGTAGATCTTGAGTGCCATAACCCAAAAATCAGACCTGGAGCTGAAACTATCCTACTAGTGCCGCTGTTAACTGTCCCGTTTCGAGGGATGCTAGCCTCCCCCAGCAGAATCGAAGCTCAAAGACAGACTCCAGAAATAGGCCGATGAAGCTGCCATCCGCGATGCCCTGGCTGCCGTGGATTCGGGTGGTGCCGCAGAGGCAAGGACATCCCTGCTCGATTTCAGCTGGTCGGCGCCTCGGCACAGGTCCACGAAGCCCTGGATGCCCTGCTCAGGCAGCAGCAAGCTCTAGAGGCACGAGGGAAAGCCAGGTTCAGGCTCAGGGCCTTCGCCTTCAGCAGATGTTGGAGGGGCAAGCTTTGTTTCTAGACTTTTCAGCTGCTATCACCATCGCATGCAGGGCACGGGTTGCTCCATTTCCTACCATGTGTCAACGACCACTCCCAACTAATCAGCATCACCGCCAGGATAATCAATGTCACGGTTTGCGTCATCGTCATGGTCTTCACAAGCGTCATAACAGGCGTGGCAGGCCCAACATCATCGACATCACTACCATGATGCCATGGTTCCATATAGTATAAGAGCATGTTGCCTCTCATTATTACATCATGACACACCATTCAGAATTTCATATCATGACATATTGTCTCATGCCGTATCTGTCATCATAATCATCAAAAGGCAATGTCGGTCCGGTTACGTCGTATTGTACACTTGTCATATTCATGCGGTAGCATAGCATAGCGCCATCGTCGTCATCGTCGTCGTGGTCGTCGTCCGATCATCGTCATCGTCACCATCACCGTCAACAAGAGCATCATCATCCCCATCATCGCGATCAAGCTCGTCGTCATGTTTTTCATTCAGTGGCGCAGTGGCATTATCGTTGTCGCCATCGCCACCAGCACCACTGCCACATGCAAAAGCACCCACACTGCCACCAGCCCTACAATGGCCACTACACTCTTGCCGCACAGCTATTGAATGTGCGCTGTTCTTCCAAGGTTCGGTTTCAGACTCTGTCGGGGACTACGCTAGGGGATTCGAACTCGATCCTGGCAAAACACCTCGGCCAAGGCTTCATTTACGCGGCAAGCGCACATCCTCCCGGCTTACGACGTGCACCGCGGCTTGCAGGGACGTCTGATGTCCAACTCCTCTTCAAATCCCTGCGAAATCTCGTGTCAAAAGTCTCTCTGATATCACTGCGTCATGCATGCTCAATGCCAAGAGGTTCCAAAAAACACAGGGACATGATGTATGTGGCAACATCTGTTTGTCAGACTGCGTCGTTCGCACAACCACTCCACATTCCTTGGCAGGCAGCAATACCGATCCACGCTGAAGGCATCCTGGCTCAATGAAGACAGAGAGGTTGAAGGAAAATGGTGTTTCTGCATCGCATACATACAGTGCCACGCCTCATAGTACCATCTAGGTCTTGGCGCGTACATGACAAACCTGTATCCGAGCAGTCCTCCTGCAACCTATCTGCTTCTCTTTACTTCGTCAGGGATTCGCCGGGGTCGTTGCTGAGGCTTTGGCTGCGGAGATCGCAACCAAGAGAGAGCTGCTTGCACCACGAAAGAAGCCCCTTGGCAGCGGCGAACAGGATTCGAGACTAGCCGAACGCTCGGTGGCTCGCCCCTACCGCCCCACCCTTGACGTTTGCTTTGCTGAAGGTTCTCCTTCAAGCGCCGCAGCCCGGCACCGGGGCCGGCACCCGCAGGTCTTGGCTCCTGAATTTGGTGGCTGAGGGACTTTGGGGTACCTTTATTTTGGGGTCCTCGTAGTAAATTAGGTTCCGTGTTTGGTCAGTTGCATTATGCAGCTTGCAGGATAGAGTGCGTCAGTAATATGGTGGCAATCATTACTGCGATGTTTACGGGGAACTTTTCCGAGCTGCAGGTTACGGCGATGTGGATCCTGCTGCGAAGCCAGCAGATGGGCCCGCCAGCAGCGCAGCGAGCGGGCAAGGCCTTGAACAAAGTCAACAGCAACCTCGATGTTCGGAAACTGTCCCAAGAGGGGCTCGAGCTTGATGGGAAGCCGTTGTTTGGTAACAGCTGAATCGCGTGCAAAGGCAAATTTGGCCGGTCCAACTGTCGGCTGGACTTAAGCCCATACGCCGCAAGAGCCATGATGAGGTATGGTTTCTGAGTGTAGCCTGAAAAGGAAACAATTTAGAACGCATAGCTTCGTTCTGTGGTGACTATCCGCGGATATGGTAACGAGTGCATTCGACGACAGCCTCTGCATGTGTTTTTGAGATGCTTTCCTCGGCGAGCGCATCGCCGAGTTGCGCGGGGAGCGGATTCTACGAAAGCCAGGAGATCTCGAGGCGAACTGGGCCATAGCTGCTTGAAGACTTGTAACTTCTGAATGTCATAACAGGGTGGACAATTGATTAGTTATGCTTCGTTGGTGTTCACCAGGTTGCAGAACACTGTCTTCTTTATACTGCATCTCGATTCTTGCATTTGAGTTGGCGATTCTAAACCTGCCCGATGGTGGTAAATGGTGTGGACAACTGCAAAGAGTTTTAGGTCGGTTGAGGATCGTATATTGCTGGCTGCCTCTTACTCCGGGATAAGTTCTGCCGGTGTGCAGGTACACAGCATGGCTTTGCCTAGCTTTACCTTTTGCCAAGTCTCGTGGACCACCAACGACATTGCCCGGGCATTTGGTTTTGTTCTGAAACTGCCGGCCGGATCTACGGGCATGTATCAGCCGGTCGTGTCCTGGTGTCTTGACCTTCGTTGCGGTGGTCATAGCGTTATAGTATGGTGCTGTCCAGAATCAGGTGAGACCTGTGCAGTAGAACTCCCCCTTGTCTCAGCTTATCTACACTGAATTATTCAGTGCTGTGTGGAATCGAGGAGCACAGTTGGCATTCACTCTGTAGAGTTTGAGGTAAGGGAGGTAGCTAATTCAGAAACCCCAACCTGTCTCACAGAATGACAGATTCTGCGCTCCAGGGACGCGACGTGGCGCTCCGGGATCTGCAAGATTGCCGCATAGTTCTCCTAGATCGGACTCTCGGAGGGAGTGCCAACAGCTAGTTCAGGCAGCTAGCCACAGCTAGCCGCCAGCCGACACTGCTCAGAGTCGAGACGTCAAGCAGTGATCGACCTTGAGAAGCCACAGTCAAGAGACTTCGTTTACTCCACATGTTTTTTTTTTTCTGCGCCTCTTTGTGAGGATTGGAGCGCTGCATGTTCAGCAGCTGACACGCTGCGAGGTTGTGGTGGGAGCGGAGCTTCGGCTTGAAGTGCTAGGCACACGCCTTGTTTTAGGAGGCGCGTTCATAAAAAAACCTGGTGGCATTCTGTATGTCTGTAGTTTCTATCTACCTACATATATATATACACACCATATATATATATATACATATGTATACACACCGTAAAATAAGTATATATTAATATATATTAACATATATATATATATATTAATATATATTAATATATATATATATATAGTAATATATATTAATATATATTAACATATATTACTATATATTACTATACATTAACATATATTAATATATATTAATATATATTAATATATATTAAAATATATTAATATATATATATATATAAACACCATATATATATACACACCATATATAGATATATACAAATATACACCATACATACATATACATATATATATATATATACGCACCATATACACATATATGTATACACCATATACATATATATATATATACCACATATAAAAATGCCACACACACATATATATATATACACATACCATATGTAAGTATATATATGTACACATACATATATACGTATATATATATATATACACGCTGCAGCATGTGCTCATTCCTGTACTGCTGTTGAAGTAGGAGCCCAGCGGCATGGGAAGTCCA